GCATCCACGCTTCCGTTTTTGCTTGCCTGTCTCAGAGGTAGGAGATAGATGGAAATTCAGAGGGCAAATGACCTGGATAGGGTTTCACAGCCAAGAAAGAGTTCAAAACCCAGATCTTTCTGGGATGCTAAGACTTCCCATTCTAAAGTCCTCAAGCCACTGAAATGTTCTAATAGCTGAGAAGCATGACACAGATTACAGCCAGCATGCGGAGTCACAGTACCTGGGTTCATATCCTAGCTATACCACTTACTAACTGTGTGACCTTGGGAAAGACAATTAATGTGTCCCCGTGTGTAAAATGGGAATAAGACCTCCCACACAGGGTTAAGAAGTGACCAAGTTACCACAAGGCACTTAAAACAGTGCCTCACAGATAACAAGTCCTTCGTGTTTGCTGCTGCTTCTGTGCTGGCTGGAAAATTACTGCATGGCTATCACCCATGGGAACATAATGCTCTAACAATAAGCTTTCTGCTTCTGTACCCTGCTTGCACAACCGATCTGTGGGTTGACAGTTAGTAAAAAGAAGAAAAATAGACTTGTGCATTCAAACAGGATGAAGAATAGGGGTTTAGGGCTTAAAAACCCTGTACCTCTACATTTCAGGGCTGCTTGATTTGGGGTCTGCGTACCCCTGGCAGACCCAACTGGCTGAATAAAGAGTGTGTGTCCTATAACTCATGTGTCTATCGGGGGCTGGCGGCTACAACACTTCAACCACTATGCTGTATTTAGAATATAATAAGTGCTAAATGTTTTAAGATGAGAAAGTGACAGCCAACAATGTAATAAAATGTAATGGCAAACATATCTCCCTGAAATGACGAATTCATTTTGGAGAAAGGTTAAAAAAACCCGCAAACCTTTACCACTTATCAGTTCAAAGTCTGATGGAACTGCAGACAAAAAAAATGTAGGTAGAAATTTGCCTCTAACTGATCCCCTACCGTTCCAATTTTATTATGTACTGCCTCCAGGAAGCCTGCAGACACTGTCTCAGGAGGGACAGTCCTGAAAAGCCCATTCATGTCAGCCCACACATGTCAGCCCTCACACCACAGTCAACTCCACGTGCATGCCTCTCTCGGCCGCTTCCGCTTCCGCCCCTTTCCCCGCCCCTTTCCCACTCGGCGCCTTTAAATGACGTCAAGCGGACGCCGACGCGGCAGGAAGCAGGGTCCGCCCCTGCGCTCTGCCCCGGCGGCGGTCGGGTTTCGGTCCCTGAGCGTGCGTGCCAGAGGGCGGCGGGGTTCCCTGCAACGCTGAGGCTAATCTCCGGCGTGCGGTGACTTTGAACTGAGAACCATGAACCGCAGCCGCCAGGTGACGTGCGTGGCCTGGATCCGCTGCGGCGTGGCCAAAGAGACGCCAGACAAGGTGAGTGAGGCCTGGGTTAGCCCTGCCTGGGGAACCTGGACCTGGAACATGCGGCCCTGTACTGGCTGGTCTGACTGGCCCGCGTGAGTTCGGTTTGAGCTTGATTGTCGTGACTAGGGCTGGGGCGCCGAGGACCTGGGGAATCAGAAACCGCGCCTCCTCATGGTCCTACCCCCAAATTCGCGCACTCGTGGACCTCTTGGGCTGGGAGGGGTCAGGTTGTTTGGAGTCGGAAATGTCACCCCCAAAACTTTCTTGACGACAGCCCAATGCGTTTTCAGACTTAACGGGAGGAGGAAGCACATAGGTGAAACGCCCCTTTCCACTCTTGCGTTCGGCGTTCGGAGGAGTAAACAGGACCAAAACTAAGGGATGGAAAAACTGCTGTGGAGACTACCATGTCGTGAGGCTGGGAGTCAGCTTAGGAATTTCTTGCAGTAATCCAAGTGAGACGTTGATGTGACATTGGGAATGACATATTATGAAGGAAAAACCAGGAGTTAGAGACTGAATCTACTGGAAGTGAAGAGTACTTAAGTTATTCGACGGATACTAGGTACTTTCTGCGTGCCAGGCATTGTCCAGGGTCCTGGGATAGGCATGAACAAAACAAAAAAGTTCTTGCTTTTATAGGGTCGATGTGTGTATATGTCAGTGGGAATAAGTGCTATGAAAGAAAGGGAGGTGTTGGTTTGAATGTAATTGGACCAGCAATGACAGAAAGGATGATAAGAATGTAACTGGCTGGGACATGAAATTAACAGGAATGAGGGTCCGGAATAGCCCTAGTAGGTGTAAATTCCTCAGAGCACAGACTGTCTTTGTTTCATTCACCAGTTTCTCTAGTGTTTGGCTCACAGTAGGCACTCAGTGCATGTATATAGAATAGGGACAGGAAATTATCTCGTTAAAAATTCTTAAGGGAGCCAACAGTTATTAAAAAGAGATATATAGCCTTTCAGATACTTGGAGACAGTGATTTCCAAACATGTCTGCACGTTGTTACCACTTGGGGAGCTTCAGAAAATACTGAAGCCTGTGCCCCAGTCCCAAGTATTGCTATTTACTTGGTCTAGTGTTTAGTCTAAAATTATTAAAAGATCCCTCACGTGATTGTAATGTACAGATAAGTTTAGGAATGATTCCTTGAAGAGTTTATAGAAAGAAGAGATTGAATTTCTTCTATCAAATTCCAGAAAGGAAAACTCAGACCATTAAGAGAAATCAGAAAAAGAAGTATCGTTTAATTAAACTTAAGGACCTTTTGTTTCTAGAGCTATCCAACACTAGAGTGTCATCCCTCAAGAAGATTTCCCAGTTACTAGAGGCATTTGGTACAAACTGGTATCAACTAGGTGATTGATTCTTTCATTCATTCATCATCTGTCATCAAGCATCTCTACCATGGACTGAATCTTGAACTGTGTGCTTAAGCACACAATGACAATTCAGTTTCTGTCTTTGAGGACTTACAGTTTAGCAGTGATAAGGGTGTTTTAAAAGGTACTGAAGCATTAATTAGGTGAAGGGATGCCAGTTTTGAAGTAAAGAGAATGACTTCAATTTTGAACAGGATTTCCAAGTGGAGAGAGAGTCTTAAAGGCAATTAGGAAAATGGAACTGGAGTATAAAGGGCTAGAAAAGGGAAAATTTAGAGTAATCGATTCAGAAGTGGTAGTTTTAGTCTTGAGAATGAATGAGCTTTGCAAAGAAGTGACAGCATGATGAGTGAATACTTGCCAGTAATAACAGGGAAAGGAGCAGAGGACTAAGGCAAGGGTGGTTTGTTTAGGAATACCCACAGGGAAAAGGAGGAGAAGTGGCTAAGACGGAGTCAGAGTAATTGGAAGAAAATAAGATGGGCTTCCATAGAAGCTAATTTATACAAGTCAGTCTTTTCTGGAAAGAGAGAAAATAGACCAAAGGTGACTTTTGAACAGTTTCAGGTGGGAAAGGATCTTAACTGTAAGAACCTGTGAAAACTCCACTTACATTAAACATAGAGTTTGACTTGATGTTTGATTCTTGATGTCTCTTGAAATTGTATTTTACATTAGTTTGCAAACTTCTTTTTAACCCAAATACTTATAATGATTTCCTTAACTATTTCATAATGAAATGTTTGCTCTCTTGTAGGTAGAACTTAGTAAAGAAGAAGTAAAACGTCTCATTGCTGAAGCAAAGGAAAAATTACAGTAAGTTTAGGACTGTCAATGTTTGTAGTAAAGTCCGGATAAAATGTAAATCTTAAATAATGATGACAAGGTGTTCTAGTTATTGAATGGTGCCATTTGGGTGATCTTCTTTTTTCATTGGCATAGAGAAGAAGGTGGCAGTGATGAAGAGGAGAGAGGTGAACCTTCAGAAGATGGCATGCAGAGTGCACGCACGCAGGCACGACCAAGGGAACGCCTGGAGGATGGTGACCCAGAGGATGACAGGACACTGGATGATGATGAGCTGGCCGAGTATGACCTAGATAAATATGATGAGGAAGGCGATCCAGGTTAGAATTCACTCACTTCTCCTGGTTTTTAATCACAAACTCAGTGTATCAGATCATGCTCCTAGTGTTCCAAAGCTTTACTCTGAGTTTTTATTGTCCTTTATGTCAGATAATTTGGCTCAAGGCTTCGGCAGACAGCATGTTTCCTAACTAGTTTAGAAAATAAGCTCTAAGAAACAGGGATGAGGACCAAATATATATATATTACATATATATATTATTTAAGTAGTGGGTATAATACTCTTCAACTCATTTTTCTTTATCTGCAATGAGGAAGGAATTATTACCTTCATTTTACAGAAGAGAAAACTGAGGCTTTCAAAGATGAAATAACTTTGCCATTGTCACACAACTGGTGAATAATGGAGCTGAAATTTGAACATTCTTTGGCTTTATTCTTTTCAGTACAAATGCTTCTCGGCCTATGATGGGGTTACATCCCAATAAACCCTTCATAAGGTGAAAATATCTTAATTAGAAAATGCATTTAATGCGCCTAACCTAGCAAACATCATGGCTTAGCCTAGCCAGTTTCCAGTGAATGCTTATTGCTTTTGCACCATCAGAAAGTTGAAAAAGCATAAGTCGGGGACCGTCTGTATACTCATTAGATGCAGAGGATACTTTTTTCACTTAGACTCTGGGTTCTGCCAGGACAGAGTGCCATGGGAATGTAGACAAAGGAAAAGCTAACCCAGCCTCAAGAGATGCGTTAGAAACTGCTCCTTGACATCTCCACACCCTGCACATCACTGGCTCTGCCTTTCTCATCCAGTAGAAATACCCATCTCTGTTGCCTGCCATGCTTAAGACCTGTTAGTCGTACCTCCTTAAAGCGGCTCCCCCTAACAATTAAGAGTGTATTCCTTTTCCTGAGTCTTATGTTACTCAGGGTCAACTATGTCACCCTTGCAGAAATGCCATAAAAGGATAACATTTTGAGGTAAGTTTAGTGAAAAGGGCATATAGTATCCCCTCTTTCAGATTAGCATATCGGAGGTTCTGAGAAATAAGGCAAATTAGCATATCAGAGGTTCTGAGAAATCTTGCAGTGAAGAAACTCATGTAACTTTGTGAAGCCAGTCATTTTTCAATTTTATTTGACCAGGCAACCCTTACTTAATCTGTATTGATTTCAGTGTTTTAGGGTCCTCAAGGCCACCTGTCTAGCACTTTTGAATAGTGATTATAAGGCTCAAGCTAGAGATCTGAGCAGAGTTTCACAGTTTAATTATTTTTCACAGTTTAATTATTTTATTGAAAGAGCGTGAATTCAGAGACTATCAGATATGCATTCCAAGGTCAAATATAAATGTCTTTTAAATTCCTGTTTATTATTATCCACTATTTCCTTTCTCAACTGTGGACAATCCAGAGTTAGTTATGAAGTAGATGGTTGGATCTAAGTCTAAAGATAGGAAGCACAGTTACATAGTTTGAAATGTTTGCATCAAAACCAGAGATGAATACTTTGACTTAGAAGAAATGTTTTTGTCAAAATGACTTTTATTCATTTCAGTTTATGAATTCTTACAGACGCTGAAACTCTCGGCGAATCTCTCTTGGGTCTGACAGTCTATGGGAGTAATGATCAGGATCCTTACGTTACTCTGAAAGATACGGTAAATATTTACATCACTTTTCTAATTATGCTTCAGTGTTTAAAAAACCTTGCCGAATATCTGCTTTGGTAAGGTTTTTTACTTTTTTTCTCTGTACTTAGGAGCAATATGAACGTGACGATTTCTTAATTAAGCCCAGTGACAATCTCATAGTTTGTGGCAGAGCTGAACAAGACCAGTGCAATTTAGAGGTGCATGGTAAGTGAAATACATCCCTTAATAGAAGGTGCTAGTCTGTTTAAGTGATATTAAAATAATAATCATAATAGTTACTATTATGAATTGTTAGGCACCAGATCCTGCCTTCTCTCATTCAAGTTGGTTACATGGTAAAATCCTACAGAGTCTAAAGATTTCCTGGTTATTGTCCATGGGCATGTGTTGTCTCATATGTCATTTTGGTACCTGGTTTTATGGAAGTAGGTCTGCTGGAAGTTCTAACAGTTTTTAATATTTTATTTAAACATTTTTGCCAGTTTTTCCCTCTCCCCCCCCCACCCCCCATTAGAGAACACCTAGATGTAAAACTATATAAAAATGTAAGAAAAAAATTATAATCTCATCACTCTAAGGTAACTTGTTACCCTAGCTTTTTACTCCAGTCTCCTTTCTGGCTGCCTTTTCTTTATGTGGCAGAGATTATACTCAATAGACAGGTTTTTATCCTGCTTTCCCACCCCGTTCCCCCCCTCCTCAAGTCATGTCAAATAGTCCCCTTTCGTAATGCATTTTATTTTCATCATAAAAATTCTATGCAGAGGCCTCCATTTCTTTTTAGGAACCAAAATGTCTTGGTCACCTTTTCCAGTTCTGGAAATGTTTGCATCAAAACCAGAGATGAATACTTTGACTTTGAAGTAGGCAATGATTTACATTTTTTTTATTTGAATTTTTAAATCAGATGTATTTTAATGTTGATATTTATTAATTCAACAAACATTAATCGAATGACTTTTCTTAAAAATAGACTTCAAGATGTCTGGAATATTCAGCCTCCAGATTTCCCCTTTTGTTTTCTCGCCCTTTTGTTTCTCTGTGCACACATCCTCAGACAAGTCCATCCTTGCCCAGATACTCCTTTTCCAACTTTCTTCTACTCGTCTGTCTTAAAATTTTGAAGCTCTAAAGAGATTATTGGGCTGAGGCCTTTTATCATAGGAAGCACAGTTACATAGTTTGAAAACGTTTATTGTCATCTTCGAGGTTACTCTGTCATTTATTCTATTTATTAGGTTGAATTCCTGTAACTCTTCACAGTCTTTAAGGCTGCCTGCAGGAAACTTATAGAATAGACCATTTTAGTCCCACGGCCTTTGTGATCTATTTATAAAGTCAAAAAAGTTTTAAGTAACAGATACTTCCATGTAAGTTATTCTTTTAATTACCGTCAACCTTTTTACATTTTTCAAATGAAAACCATGTTGTTGGTGAATTTTTAAAGACCCAATCCTAATTTCAAAACAGCAGAATTCTATTACAGTTTGTCTTCATGTGAGAACTTATTGTAGTCATTCCTTTGAATTTAGTGTCAGAGGAGTTGAGAACTTAAAGCAATTGTATTCCTACTTCCAAGTTAGGTCATTAAAGATGGATTATATTTAGATTTGGTGTGAAGCCCCCAATTATCCAGCATTATCTCTATTCATGAGTATTTTCAAAATTGTGTTTTAAAGCTGACCTGAATGTTGATCTGATATAGTTAAAAGAAGATCGTTTTAAAGCACTATTATCATTTTTTATTTAAAATGTAAGCTGAGTGCATTGACCAGAGTTGAGGTTCTTACAGGACCACAAGCTAATCATTTTGAACATGCATTCTCATCATCAAGTGATCTGGTAGAAATTTACGTGGAATCTGCTAATCCCAGGACCTATCCCAGAAGCAGAAGCCCGAAGGATTAAATTTCTTAGCTTATAATATTAACATTTATTCTAAAGCTTGTTTGGGGGAAATTACTGATTATTTAGGCTCTTTTATCAGCATTTCACTATATAATTTTTAAAAGACTTATTAGTCATTGAGTTCAACAATATTTTTGCTCCTTAACCTCATAACGTGAAGGAAAGAGCTATTTCTTATAGTGCCCATATTCCCAAAGAGTGTTCTGAAGAGCTTTATTTACACTGTTAGTGTTCACAGACTTTTTTTCAATATTAAGTAATTTTTGATAAGCATTTCTAAATGAGTTTTCTTCATTCCTATTGTTTTTGTTTGTTCATTCTTGACTTACAACCAAATAGACCTTTAAAAGATAAAATAATAATGAATTACAGTCATGCTCTGTTTAATGATGGAGATACATTCTGAGAAATGCATCATTAGGAGATTTCATCATGTGTGAACATCATAAGTGCACTTACACAGATTTAGATGCTGTAGCCTGCTACACACTGAGGCTATATGGTAGAGCCTGTTGCTTCTAGGCAACAAGCCTGTGCACCATATTACAAACCAACATAAGATTAAGTTAAACACAAGAGAAAATGATAAAATTAAGAGACACATTAAATGATGCATTAAATACAAGATTTATGAGGCCACTGCCAGATTAACATAGCATACTGTTTTACAGCGAAGTGGTTTTTTTATAAGTGCACTAACAATAAAAAATCTAATATAGTAAATACATAAACCTGTAGCATCGTCATTTTTTATCATTATCAGATATTATGTACTTTTTGTAATTGTATGTGCTATACTTTTACATGACTGGCAGTGCAGTAGGGTTGTTTACAGCAGCATAACCGCAGACACATGAGTAATGCATTGTGCTGCAACGCTGCGACATCACTAAGCAGTAGGAATTTTTCAGCTCCATTATAATCTTATGGGGCCACCATCAAATATGCAGTCTGTCATTGACTGAAACATCGTTATGCATCACGTGACTGTACTCCTTATGGAGACCTATGGGCCTTTGTTTTCTGTGATGGGTGAACCAAAAAATGGGGACCATTTTAGCTGGCGAGCATGCAGATGTAGTATTTAGGCAGATGTCAATTCTCCGTCACTGTTCTTGTTCCCCTTGGGACACACCAGGTGACAGCAATATATGAGACATGCAAATTTTTTGCCTAGCAGTAACAACTTGAGAATCTCCTCTAATGTCATCAAATATGTCTCATTTTAAATTAAGCATGTAGGTTTACTGGGGAGAGTCTGTTCTTTTGAATGAGATATGATTTCTTATTCTGATTCAATAAAGTCTCTTTTCCCAATCTTTTCAGTTTATAATCAAGAAGAAGATTCTTTTTATGTACACCATGATATACTGCTGTCTGCATACCCTCTGAGCGTGGAATGGCTGAATTTTGATCCTAGCCCAGATGATTCTACTGGTAATGAGAAAACTTAAGCTTGCACAATGGTTCTTAGTCCTGGATGTTTTTCCTAGTCACATAAATTATGTATGCTGTATGAATTATTGATGTTTTATGAAGTTAATATTATTTTATGAAGTTGTAGTTAAATAGTTCTTAAAGCACAATCACTTGATTATTTGGGGTCTGTATGTTTCCAGACTTTAGATAGGTTAGAAAGGTTCCATGGTAGGCCGAAGTACAGGTCCTGAAAGCATTTAGGGCTGCAGTGTGAGAGTCTCATAAAAACTAGTATAAAATGGATGATGTCTGATGTTACCAACTAGAATTTAGTGGCATGACCCTCTTCAGAAAACAGCAAGTAAAATCAAAATGAAGAATTAGGTTCTTATGGTCGTCTTTTTAGCTACTGCTGGTTGCCCCATCCTATCTTCTTAATGAAGGTAAAATCTGGTAATACTCATACCCTTACATCTCATTTGCAAAGCTTGTTTACATTCATGATCCGATCAGATCCTCATCCTCACAATGGCCAGTGAAGACAGGAGGGGTTTTTGTTCTCGTTCCTAAGTGAGTTCCTGGGGCCAAGAGACTGAGCCCTTGTTACTCAAAGTATGGTGGGAGGACCTAGCAGCCCAGCATCAGTATCACCCGGGAGCAGGTTAGAAGTGCAGGTGTGGGGCCCCACCCAAGGCCTTCTGAAATGGAGTCTGCATTTTAACCGTACTCAGGTGATATACCTGCGTAGGACAGTTGGAGAAGCTGCTCTGAGCCATTGCTCAGTTAATCTACAGTGTAGTATAGTTCACTGGAAGTTATTTTTAAATCACAAATACATCATTTCTTCCTGTAGGAAATTATATCGCTGTGGGGAACATGACCCCTGTTATCGAAGTATGGGACCTTGATATAGTGGACTCTTTAGAGCCTGTCTTCACACTTGGAAGTAAGCTATCAAAAAAGAAGAAAAAGAGAGGAAAGAAGGTAAACAAGTTAACAGTTATTTAAACTCTAATGACAAACAGATAAGTTTACTGAGGCTGGAGGGGAGCATAAAAACATATGCTTTTTCAATTGGACACTTTGGTGGAGCAGAACAAGTAGTTATAATTACAGTAGTTTCTGGTTTTGAAAAGCCCATCCAAAGACAAATTGATCTCTGATTGCATAAAACCTCTGTTGGCACATTATTCATCCTTACACAAAATTTACTCATCTTATGATCTTTATGTATAGTAACTATTCACACTCATATGGTAGTTTTGAACTTTAAAACAATTTCCATTTAGCCTTCAGTGTGTTGAAGTCTAAATATCAATGTATTCATTCCTATAGCTTTTTAAACTTAATTTGGGGAGAGGGGTTGATATTTATAGAATTAACATCTGGGTTAACTACTATAGTTTCTTGTCTATAAAGAATATTTATCGTGGATCTCTAAAGTAACAGGGAGACAAGGTGCTTACTTTTTGGTCTTCAAGCAAGTTTACTTAAGATCAAAACAACCAAATTAACATCACCTTTATTTTGGGTCAGGGAACTTTAGTACAAAAAAATAATTAAATTAAACAATTATTACAGAGTTCCACAGCAGAAGGGCACACCGATGCTGTCCTGGACCTTTCTTGGAATAAGCTGATCAGGTAAAGAGAATTAACATTTGAAGTATTGTTAAAGACTAACAATTGTGATTTTACCCCATGCCTCCATCATGTGTCATAGGTCTTTGCGTCTGTGTCTTCCTCTTCTTTCCTGCAGTATGCGCTGCTTGAGGGCAGGAGCTGTACTGTCTGTACCCTTTCACCCCCCACGCCACCTGCCCGCTCTTCACTTAGTGCTTCTCACATCTGGTGAACAAGTGCCCTTCTCCCCAACACCACCGGGAACAGTAGTGCAGAATTGTGTTTCTTCATGGAAGACATTTTTCTCACTTCATTTAGATTTTACAAAATCTCATCCACATATTTTTTAAAATATTTTCATTTATTTACTTGCGATAAACATAACCTTTATAAAATTTACCATTCTAAGCATGTCTAAATGTGCAGTTCAGTGAACATTGTTAGGCAGCCATCACCACCATCCAATTCTAAAACTGAATATGTCCCCATCAAACAGTAACTCCCCACTCCCCGCTCCCCCAGCCCTGGCAACCACCATTCTATTCTCTGTCCCCAGGTACCTCACATACGGTACTTATCCTTTTGTAAATGGCTTATTTCACCTAGCACAAGGTTTACCCATGTTGTAGCATGTGACAGGATTCCTTTCCTCTTTCAGGCTGATTTTTTTTCTATTAATAGCATTTAATGCTCTTTTTTTTAAGATATAAATTCTCATATCATAAAACTTAATCTTGTAAAGTATACAATTCAGTGCTTTTAGTGTATTCACAAAGTTGTGCAGCCATCGCCACTGCCTAATTCCATGACATGTTCATCAATCTAAAAAGTAATCCGTACCCATTAGCAGTCAGTGCTCATTCTCCTGTGTGTCCAGCCCCTGGCAACCACTAAGCCACTTTCTGCCTCTATAGATGTGCCTATTCTGGACATTTCACATAAATGGAATCATACAATGTGTGGCCTTCTGTATCTGGCTTCTGTTTTCAAGCATAATGTTTTCAAGGTCCATTCATGTTGTAGCATGCGTCAGAACTTCTTTTTATTGCTGAGTAATATTCTCTTGTGTGAGTATGACACATTTTTTGTATTCACCCATTTAACGGACATTTGGTTTGGTTTTGCTTTTTTGTCTATTATGAATAACGATGTAAACGTTCGTGAACAAGCTTTTGCATGTTTTCATTTTCTTAGGTATGTACCTAAGAGTGTAACTGCTAAGTTATATGATAGTGTCTGTCCATTGATATTCCTGGCGCAGTGTAGGGCGATTCCAGTATTTCTACATCTTGCTAACACTTGTTGTCTTTTTCATTTCCCTAATGGCGTTGAGTATCTTTTCACATTCTCATTGGCCATTTATATATTTTCTGTGTAGAACTGTCTATTCATATCCTTTGCCCATCTTCTAATTGGGTTGTCTTTTTATTATTTAGTTGAGAGTTCTTTATATATTCTGGGTGCAAGTTTTCTATCAGAAATGACTTAAAAATATTTTCTCCCATTCTATGAGTTGCCTTTTCACCTTCTTGATGGTAACATTTGCAACACAATGTTTTCATGTTGATGATGTCCAATTTATGTATTTCTTTTGCCACTAATACTTTTGTTGTCCTTATCTAAGAAACCATTGCCTAACCCAAGGTCATGAAAAGTTGTTTTCTTCTTGAGAGTTTTATAGTTTTAGCTCTTAGAGTTAGTAGTTCTATGATCTATTTTGAATTTTTTTTGTGTGTATAATGTGAGGTAGATGTCAAACATTCTTCTACATGATGTCCCTGAAACATTTGTTGAAAATAGTGTTCTTTTCCCCACTGAACAATGAATAATCTTGGCACCCTAATCAAAAACCAGTAACCATAAATCTGAGGGTTTCTTTTTTAGACTGTTCATTCTGTTCATCTGTCTGTACTTACGCCAGCACCACATCATTATGATTACTGTAGCTTTTTAGTCACTTTGAAATTCGAACTATGATTTTTTCAACTTTACTAGTCCTTTTCAAGATTATTTTGGCCAATCTGGATCTCTTGCATTTTTATGTAAATTTTTAAACGAGCTTGCCAGTTTTCTACAAAAAGTCAGCAGGGATTTTAAAGAGGATTGGTTTAATCTGTAGGTCAATCTATACATGGCAGTATTCGTCATGACAACATTAATGAACTATCCATTAATTTAGATACTCTTTCAGCAATCTTTTATAGTTTCCAATACATAAGTCTTGAATTTCTTTTATTAAATTTATTCCTCAGTATTTTATTCTTTTCGATGCTATTATAAATGGAATTCTTACATTTAATGCTCTCGATCTTTAAAAGATTACCTGATTTATTTCCTCCCTTTCTCAGAAATGTGCTAGCAAGTGCATCAGCTGACAACACTGTAATTCTGTGGGATATGTCCTTGGGGAAACCAGCAGCTAGCCTTGCCGTACACACAGACAAGGTATGGCGACTTAGTAGATGAAAAGGAGCTCTCAAAATTCTGAGACAAAGAGTGGCTACAAGTAATCACAAACATTTATAATGGTTTTTTGTGAGTTACAGAGTGCTTCGACATGCTGTTTCATTGAATCTTGACAAAGCCTGTGTGATAGTGATAATTACCCATCTTAGAGATGCAAAAATGAGTGCAGAAAGGCGAAGTGACGAGGGATGTTAATACTTTGTAATGTGTGTATAGAGGCTTCTAAAAAGGGATCAGGGGGTATCAGACACCAAATGGGGTTAAAGAATTTAGCAGGTCTGCTACTGCAGAACTTGGGGACCTCCTATGCCACTGCATGCTGGGACTTCCAGAGCATGTGGAGTTGCCCAGATATGTTTGACCATTCCCTTTTTCTCTTCAGAATATATTTTAACATTTGAAGGATATAATGTATTCTGCAAAACAGTTTGGGGAATGCTGTATTATGTCTCTTAGTGTCAGCCTTTATTTAGAAATATGTTTTGTCCTTTTGATTATGCAGTACATTTATGTTTCTTTAATACTAAATTTCAAAGAGAAAAATTATAAAAACACTGCAAATCAATTCTCACGAAGTGTTAGGCATTTTTACCAAAATCAGACCAACAGATCTATTTATTTATGTTTCTTCCTTTCAGGTCCAGACTCTGCAGTTTCATCCATTTGAAGCACAGACTCTGATTTCTGGATCATATGATAAGTAAGAAAACATTTCAGGAATTATTGATGCTATTTTTATCCTCTTGAGTTAATGCAGAAAGTCTCACTGTGCTCAGACAGAATATATTAATGAGGCACTCATGTTTAAATTTTTAATTATTTGTCCTTTTCAACTCTGGTCCTTTCAGTCTGCAAGGGAATGTGGTTCTGTCATAATAATGTAGTTCCTAACTAGCGACTAGATTTTTAGAGGGTTTATGAATTAGCCATGACTATGAACTAAGTCATCCTAAAATTCAGTGACTTAAAACAAGTCACTGGTAACTTGGCTTTGTCCTTGTGTTTCATATCCTCCTGGGACCAGCGGGCTAGGTCATAGCGAGGTCAGAAGCTCAAGCAGGGATACCAAAGCTCAGAACTAGTACACTTACGTCTTACTCTCTTGGCCAAACAGACCACATGGACTGGGAAATGAAACCGACTTGCAGTCTTTATTCTGATTCCTTGTCCTTTTGAAGAGTGATATGTTTACATTTTTTTGTTGTGATTCATGCAGAATTACAAAAGCGTATCCATCAGTTCCCACAGCATAGTAACCTACTTGTAGAGAGTAATTGTCACTGAGATAATGGGTTATCTAGCTCTGAGCACTAACAGGGAAGAGGAAGTTAGAAATTGTCCTGGTCTTTTAGAAATAGAGACGATTTATCTTTTAAGTAGAGAATTCGATCTAGAGAAGCCACTGTGACATCCAGAGTCGGCAGTGCTTCCAAGTGATAGGACCAGAGTCCATCTGTTAGTAAAAATCAATTCATCTTTTCTATTTTATTTTAGAACCTCAAAGCATGCTTTAAAAAAGTTAGATCTTGATTTCAGTGTTTTATTACCATGTCATAAATAAAACATAGGAGAATTAAACTTTTAAACCCTAACTTTGCCTGAATGTGTTTAGGTCAGTGGCTTTGTATGACTGCCGAAGTCCAGACGAAAGCCATCGAATGTGGCGATTCAGTGGGCAGATTGAGAGAGTGACTTGGAATCACTTTTCACCTTGTCATTTTTTGGTAAGACTGTACATATTACTGTTTTGCTTGTCCAGGTTACTGATGACTTTAATTCCATTGTAGATAAACTCTCTGATAAGCTTTTCTTGTATTAATAGCATGGAGTATTTGGATTGTAGGGGGAAAAAAAAAAGTATTTTTAACAAGAGAACAGTGGATTGGCCTCAAAAAATAGTAAACATGTAAATGATTTTACTAATTTCCAAGGATTCGAAAGTGTGCTACATTTTATTTTATTGATTTTGATATTTTATTAATGTGTTTTTTGAAATACTTAGCATGGTTAATATTCTTTTTATGTTTCTTTAATGGTTAAATAGGTCCAAGAAGATATTTAAGTCCTAGTACTTAAATGGTCTCCAGTACTGAGAATGCTAACCTATTTAATTAATATAGCACTGTCTCCCAGACAGGAATGAAGTATAAGATCTTTTTATACAAAGTCTGTAGGATGACAGTTTTCCATGTAGCTTTCCAGGACATTTCAATCCATAGAGAAATAAAATCTCAGCTTTCATCCAGAAGGGTACGGTAATTAAAGAAATTCTGATGCATCCATGTATTTCCTAATTTTCCTAAAGTAAATGTGAATGCTTTACAAAATAGCTTTCTTAAAATATGTAGACAATTTTAATAAGTTTCCTGAAATAATGATTCTGAGAACACATAATATCAACTCTGCACGGAGGTACATGCACTTCCCAGCCGAGCTACATTAAGCCAGGTTCCATTTTTCAGAAATCGGGAGTGAAGTCCTGGTTGTATCTGAATGTTGTTCTGTACTTTGGCTCTCAACAGTCAGGCACACATACTTCTTGACGTTATTTGCTAACAAATGGTCATCGGTACTAAAATCACAAATATTTAAGGAAATGGGAAGTGATCAAAATAAAATGGTTTACCTCTTTTCCTCCAGTCTCTTCTGTTTTTTGTCCACAGCCCAGTTGTCAAGACTGTATCAGTTGGATGTTGCTCTTAGCCTGTATATAAGCTCAGGTCTCTCCCCCATCCTTGACTAGGTCTGTCTCCATTCATTTCCTTTCCTGAAAGTAATCTGCCTTTCAGTCCTTATCTGATTGACTCTCTCTGCCAAAATATTGACAGCACCCCCTACTCCTTTCTTCAGCGATCCTGGTGCCCTGGCTTCCCTGACATTCTTTGTCATTCCCTCCTCCCTCTTTGGTTCTGTGAGCGCCTCCTCAGCCTGTCCCTTAAGTGGCCCTACTCTCCAGGCCTCAACACCCTGGTCTCTTAATTCTACACTCCCAGAGCATATACCACTGTTCTCATGATATAACACCCACCTCTGTGCTGTCACCTCTCTAACCTTGGTCCGTACCACTGCCACGGCTTCACATTCATTTCCAGCTACCTAACAGACATAGCAGCTGAATTAATCCTTGTAAGAGCAAACTCAGCTTGTCCAGAAGTAAATTCTTTTTGTCCATGTTAATTTTTAATAAGCTCCTCAGGTAAGTCAAATATATAGTTGATTTTCACTGTGATTTATACTGTGTGTCCATTGCTAAGTGTTTGTCATATTAGCCTGATCTTGCCCATCTTTTATTTTTTCCAGGCCAGTACTGATGACGGCTTTGTATATAATTTGGATGCACGTTCAAATAAGCCAATTTTTACACTTAACGCACACAATGATGAAATCTCTGGTGAGCAAAAATAGTGTTTCTTTCATTTCTATTATATTATGAAGTAAATCTGTATTTCAAAGTCAGAGTCTCTGAACTAATCTTATCTTTCCTGAGGTCTTGATCTAAGCAGTCAGATCAAGGGCTGTCTTGTGACTGCATCAGCAGACAAATATGTGAAGATCTGGGACATATTAGGAGATAGGCCGAGTCTAGTCCACTCCAGAGACATGAAAATGGTAAGAATCTCCATGGGCATCTTTGTTTTCTGTTCCTGATCTGTATTGTTTGTCTTTCTCCAGGAATCATTGCATTAAAGAATATGGATTTATTGGGGAAGTTCATTTTTATCTTAGCCAAATTTGGTGAGAGTTTTATGACTTAGGACAATTTGGGGGAAATCAGTAACTGTTTCCTTTTTCAACTCACATGATTAACAGTTGCTTGATAAGAAGTGTGGGGAGACGGATTTTTAGGACACAAGTAGAATGGCCATGTTTCTTTACCCTAAAATCAGGACCATCCCAGGAAATCTGAAACTTTTAGAGCACCATAGTCGTTGGGGTCAGTTTATCACTTCTTTGTATAACTAGTTCTGACTACACTGAAGTTAATTACTATATAGTGGCAAAAAATTTAGAAATAACTGGAATCATTCAGCAAATATTTATTGGGTACCTCCTGTATTCCAGGCACCGAGTTATAGAAAATGCAGATGTAGAACACCGCACAGCTATTTAAAATTGTGTATATGTATGTGTATGTGTGGAAAGGCAGATTACAGAGGCAATTTTTTAGTACTATCCATGCTTATATTTAAATCTGGAAGATCCTATCCCAAAACATGAATAGTGATTATCTGAATGATTTTTATACTTTTTCTTGTTCATATTTTCTATAATGCATGTGTTATCTAGTTATATAAAACATCGAAAGTTTAAAAATTAATACTGACCTCTGATATCATCATTACTTAAAAAGGAAATTAAAAATACTTAGATTAGTTTAGAAAATCCCTAATAGACAGTGATAATGGGGATAAGAGACCGAGTGGTCAGAGCATACACGTGTCCTCACAGAATGTCCATTGTGCTGAACTTGTTTGGCTTTCTATTGTTGTAATATTCCTTCCAACTTGACTGTGAACCACCTTTGTAGAAGATTTGAAAGATAATGGAGGGTTTTGAGTAACCAGTCAAATCATAGAGCTCTGTGCAAAGATTGAAATCACTGGCTTTCTATTCTCTTCTCCCCAGGGAGTTCTCTTCTGTTCTGCCTGTTGCCCTGATTTGCCATTTATTTATGCATTTGGAGGTCAGAAAGAAGGGCTTCGGGTCTGGGATATAAGCACCGTCTCTTCAGGTAAGAATCTTAATTTCCTGCTTTGTCTGAAGGAGTTCTGTAATGGCTAACACAGAATGTGTAGCGTGAATACGTTAGGTAGATAGCAAAGGTGGATCCGGTGTTCGTCCTGTAGTGTAGTCTGCTAAGGAAATAGGACCAAATGTAACTTGGAAATGTTCATGATCACAAATTTGTCTTCATACTTTAGATTATTTTTTTAAAAACCTATTTATGATAAAATTTGAATTTTAAAATAGAAAGCTGGAAGAAAATGTAGTAGAGACTCAAAGAATTGACCCCCCACCTTCCCAGTCCCCAGAATGAATAAATCTGCCTTTGTTTAACTACTTTCTGAAGAATCGAGCTCTCCCCTCGGGCCACTCCCCTCCCTTTCTGGGAGCCTGGCTGCTTAGTTAGTACTTCGAGGTTGTCTGCTTGGTCCTATACACCTGGAGCCCCACTATCTGATTTCTGAATCTTACCTCCCATAGAAAAAGGGTCCTAAGTCCAAAAAGGTTTTATGTATACATGATACAGAGACAGATAAATAGGAAACTATCTGAAGTAGAATAATGGAAGGATGGAGTCACTGTTGTAAGGAATGGGACATCTGTTATCAAGGTAGACTAGATAAATCCAGGGCAAGGCAAAGAAAATACATACACAAAAAGACCAGTTTGAAACATGATTAAGGTCACTCAGAACATTAACTTGGACTTCTGAGTTCTTGCTAACTTTCTCGTTTACAAAGTATTAAATATATTTTCATCACATTTCTCCCTCAGGGTAGAGAAACTTACTGCTCATTTCTACATTTTAGTCTCTTTTTATATTAAAGGCTTTTAATTTTCTGATCTGGTAGTTTCTTAACTATTTATTTGTGTTTTAGTAAATGAAGCATTTGGAAGACGAGAGAGACTTGTTCTCGGCAACACAAGAAGTTCGTCTATTAGTGGCCCTTTTGGGAGCAGGCACTCAGACACACCCATGGAGTCGTAATGAAGATCATACAATTTCCTGTTTTGTTTACCTTAACTCAGAGTTTTAAAAAGGTGGCCTAAAAATGTTCCGTGCGTAGCTACAGCCATGCAGTGACTAAAACAAATTCATTTCTTACCTCCTGACATTCCTCTCTGCAGCTGTGGTGGCAACACAGCGCCAATCATGCTTGCCTTTCAAGCATGTGGTGCATAAGGCTCCTTGAAAAGGAGAATAAAAAAGGTTTTTAAAAAATAATTCCTTAAATATGCCCTCTGTCACAGCCAATCTAGGTTTGTAAAGTAGCTAATAATTTCTAGAATTTGAAAAGAGGAAAATCCTGTAATTTTAACAGGTGGGTAAACCTAGGCCTGGAAGGGTTATGATTTGGACAAGATTGCACAGAGGCCACAAGCAAGCGGGTGTCCCAGGGACAGCACTTGCCAAACTGACTGTTCACCAATTAATGCTCGTGACTTAGAAGTGTTCTCAGTGCTGCCCTTAGAGTTTGGTACTAAATAAAAAGCGGCATGCCTTTTTTCCCCTAGCATGGTATTCAGTGTTATCTGTAATATTCGTTAATTTTATGCACCCAACATAGGCGCACAGACCTAATGTTAACAGACCTAAAGAGAGAAACAGCAACACAATAATAGTAGGGGACTTTAATACACCACTTTCACCAATGGCTGGATCCTTCAGACAGAAAAATCAATTAAGAAACGTCCTTAAACAACTTGTTAGACCAGATGGACTTAACAGACATATACTGAACATTCCATCCAGAAGAACAATATACATTCCTAAGCGCAGATAGAAAGTTCGCCAAGATATATATGCCACAAACAAGTATTAATAAATTTAAGATTGAAATCATATCAAGCATCTTTTCAAACGGCAATAGTATGAAACTAGAAGTCAATTACAAGAAGAAAACTGGAAAATTCACAAATATATAGAGATTAAACAACATGCTACTGAACAACCGATGGGTAAAGGAAGAAATCAAAAAATATGTAAAGATGAATGGAAACACAATACGCCAAAACTTGAGGGATGCAGCAAGGGCAGTTTTAAGAGGGAAGTTCATAACAATAAATGCCTATATACATCAAGAAACAAGATCTCCAACAACCTACCTTTGTACCTCAAGGAACTAGAAAAGAATAAACTAAGCCAAAGTTAGAAGAAAGGAAATAAAAATCATGATAGAAATAAAATAGAGACAAAAAAGACAATAGAAAAGATCAGTGAAAACAAGAGCTAGGTTTTTTGAAAAGATAAAATTGGTAAATTTTTAGACTCAGGACTCAGAGACTACAACTGATGCAAAAAGAAAGGATTATAAGAGACCACTATGAATAATTACACCCCAGCAAATTGGACAACCTAGAGGAAATGGAAAATTCCATCATACTACCTACCAAGACTCATGAAGAAATAGAAAATCTGAATAGACTGATTACTAGTAAGAAGATTGAATCAGCAACCTCCCAACATAAGTTTAGGACCATACAGCGTCACTGGTGAATTCTACCATATATTTAAAGAACTAATACCAATCCTCCTCAAACTTCCAAAAGATAGAAGAGGTGGGAATACTTCCAAACGCATTTTATGAGGCCAGTACTATTACCCTGTTACCAAAACTAGACAAGGATACCACAAGTACAAGCCAATATCCCTGATGAACATATATGTAAAAATCCTCGACAAAATATTAACTAAATTCAACAATCATTAAAGGGATGATACACCAAGATCAAGTGGGATTTATACCAGGGATGCACAGATGGTTCAACATCCTCAAAGTGATACAACATTAACAAAATGAGTAATAGGACCATCTCAATAGATGCAGAAAAAAATTGACAAAATTCAACATCCATTTGTTAAAAACTTTCAACAAAGTGGGTATAGAGGGAACATACTGCAACATAATAAAGGCCATATGACAGGCCCACAGCTAACATACTCAGTGGTGAAAAGCCGAAGCTTTTCCTCTAAGATCACAAGTAAGGGATGCCTACTCTTGCAATTTTTATTCAATATATTATTGGAAGCCCTAGCCAGAGCAATTGTGCAGGAAAAAATAAAAAGCCAATCAGAAGTAAAACTCACTATCTGCAGATGGCATACATAGAAAACCCTAAAGACTCCACCAAAAAACTCTTAAGACTAGAACAAATTCAATAGTTGCAGGATACAAAATCAGTATACAGAAATGTGCTGCATGTCTATATACTAATAACGAATTATCAAAATTTAAGAAAATCTCATTTACAGTTGCACCAAAAGAATAAAATACCTAGGAAAATACCTATCTAAAGGTGAAAGACGTGCACACTGGAAACTAAGACACTGATGAAAGAAAATGAAGACAAAAATAAATGGAAAGATATTAATTGCTCATGAATTGGAAGAATTAATATTAAATGTCCATACTACCCAAAGCAATCTACAGATTCAGTGCAATCCCTAACAAAATTCCAATGGCATTTTTCACAAAAAGAGCAATCAAAATTCTTGTGGAACCCAAAGACCCTGAATAACCAAAGCAATATTGAGAAAGAACGAAGCTGGAGGCATCACACCTCTTGATTTCAAACTCTTACAAAGTTATAGTAATCAAAACAGTATGATATTGGCATAAAAGCAGACACAGATCAATGGGACAGAATAGAGCCCAGAAGTAAACCTACACATATATGGTCCATTTCCTACAAAGGAACCAAGAATATACAGTGGGGAAAGGACAGTGTCTTCAAAATAAATGGTGCTGGGAAAACCAGACCACTATTTACATCATACATAAAATATAATTTTAAATGGATTAAAAACTAAAATTTGGATCTATGAAATTCCTGGGGGGAAAAAACATAGGTGGTAAAGTTCTTGACATTGGTCTTAGTGATTATTTTTTGGATCTGGCAACAAAAGCAAACAAACTGCCTAATAGACACACAAACTAGGTCAGAAAACCCGGGAGTTGCCCTGTGACGGCCCTTAGATTAATTTCTTCCCTCTTGTAGCCACAAGACTGATACATACAGTGATAAACCAGAAGGAAAGTCTGATCCTGCACGTTATTAATTTCCAAAGTCAAACCTCAAAAAGAAGGCTTACGTATTTACAGAATTGCAAGAATTTCTTAACTCTAATATGTGTCAAAGTACTCTAAGGATGCTATACCAGGGGAAGAAAAACAGTTTAGGTCAAGCTAAATTTATAGATATTGCAAGTGATCACAGGTGATGATCTAACTCATGTCAGCCATGGGTGTCAGGTATAATTGTGTTCCATAATAGTAAGTGGATCCTTGCTGCCTTATCCAGCCAGGCCAGATAACTAATCCAGATAACTTGGTCAACATTCTTGTGTTCAGACAACAGAATTCCCTCAAGCTAGTTTAAGCAAAAGGAATTTTTTAAGCATTATAGACAGCCCATAGAATCACTAAAAAGGATTGAAAAGGAGCCTAGACTGAATTCTAGGAGTGAACTCCCAACCTCATACTCATACTGCAAAAGTTGCAAGGTGCAGCTGCTGCTTCTGTGATCAGAAAGCCACCTGCCACTCCAGAAAGCCTCCCTCCACCACTGCTGTCAGTTCCAAACCCATATCACCCTTGGGAAGATCCAAGCCTACATAATAAATAAAAGCTGCTCTCCACATAACTTCTGAATCACTCTCACCCAAGTGCATCAGATCAGAAGAATGCTGGGTTTGTTTGGAATTGGCTCTAAAGGAATCTGGGGAGTGGTTTTTAGCTTTCTAGACTTGAAAGCACAAGAAAGGATAAAAAGGGATTGATAATTTATAGTATCTTCTTTGTAGAATTCATGCTAATATACACGTAGACAGAGATAATAGATGACCAGACATGCTTTTTCACTCACAAAGTCTTGGATGTAGTTCCGCTAACATGGATGATCCCATCCTTTTTGGTAGCAGCACTGTATTATTTAGTGTGGATGTGCCTTAATTTAGTCACTATTTTCTTTCTGTAAGACACGTAGGTTTCTTCCATCTTCACTGTTAACAACACTGCTATATTCCTCTGTATTCCTTCATCCTAAACCTATATATAAAAAGAAGAATCCTGTACATACCTTTTTTTTGGGGGTGTGGGGGGCATGTATATGTGCTTCTGGACTTGAAATTGGACTTCCAGGTCATGAGCTATTTTTCTGTTTCATCTCCCTACTCCAAACCCCACCCTTCGAGTCCAACTTGTTCTTTTCCCAAAGAGAACATACGCTAAATGAATGGATCATCCTGCTTTTCTCTTGCCACAAAGCACTATTTGCATTAGGGGAATTTCCGATGCAAAATAGCCTGGCACGCTTTCTTTTTGCTACAACATATCTGGGTCAGGCATCTTGAAAGAAAAAGTCCCTAACAGAATATTATTATACCACCTCCCACACTTTTAAATAATTCAGTTTTCCATAGCCAAGTGCCAGTTGTTTCTAATTATGAATAATGGCCCACAACGGTGTTCTCTGCTTATAGAAGTACATTTCACAGCCCCAGTGCAAATAGGCAACTGCCATAGGTAGCAGTGAGATGTACCTGAAATGAGGTGTCAGAACAGCTGCATGTAGCTTAACATGGAAGAGGGCCCTGAGGGAGAAATAGACATTTAAAAAGTACTCCTGAGACAGCAAATCACTGAACTGTGAAATGCAGAACATCGTAAATTTCCTGAACTTTGTTTTCAACATCTTTTAAAATGGGAGTAAAACCTACTATTATAATGCTCTATGAGGACTAAAAAAATGTTAAACTAAAATACTGCTATTAGAGGCTATATGTGCATGTAAATGTCACAAATGCCCTAGACCATGTTAGCTAAGGAAGGCAGGAAGTTGTGACCAGTGATAGAGCATTCAAGTAAACTTTCAAGTCAGTACCTTTCTCCTTCCGTGATTTTCTCTCCTCATTACCGCCATAATGGATCTTGATGTTCTCCCTATCCCAAGGCCTATCTCCAGGGGGATGGGGGCGGGAACAGATAGGCGCTTCCTTTGTGCTCCCTAATCCATGCATATGAATATGCTTTGTCTAAGTGGAAGAGTTTAAATTTTCTGTGATTTCCTTTCAAGACTTGTACCCTGGATCTATGCCATGGTGAGATCCCAATTTTAACTAGGCCACTATTGAAGAATCAATAAAGCTTGCGGGGCTAAGCACAGATTGCCACTTCTAGCTGTGTATGTTAACTGTGTGCCAACAACTTATCTATACCTCAGTCTCTTACGTAAACTAGGGACAATCACAGGTCTGTGCAGATTAAATGTGTTGATAAAACATTTAGAACAATGCCTACCACAAGTAAACACTTTGTGATTAAAAATAAAATAATCAAAGAGCAACTATTGATTGGTTAGACTAGGTATTCTAAAATCTTTAGTCCTGTAATTCAAACGTGTTGCCTCAGCTTTATTTTACCATGTAACAGATGCAGGATTCTTACCAACTTTTGTCTTCTCTTAGACTTTTTCTCTCCTGCTCCCAGATTTTGATACTTGTACCTATAACACCTGCCATTGTTGATTTGCATTAGGTATAGGTGTCTGCATCTGCACCTGGCGTGGTCTCCAATGTGACTCCCGTGGACTGCTTCAGGGTCACCTGGGGCCACCCTGGACACCTGACATTTCTCCACTCCTCAGGTGATCCAGCCGGCCAGCCAGCTTTGCAAGGTTCTGCTTCCAGAGGGCCGGGGCAGAGTCCGAACAGTTTCTGTTACCCTGCAATGCCTTAAACCGTACCGGCACTCACATGGTTTTTGAGAGGAAAGTCGTCCTTGTCTGAGAACTACACAGACCTGGGGGCTTCATGACTCTCAAGTGTGCGTGTGGAAGGAAACGAAGGAGCAAAATTAGTTGAGGACTAATTCTGTCCCTTCCAGTAGTACAGAAATCTGCTACAAATTGTTACTGCCGTTTACGTTGCTCACGATGACTTCTAAAACCGAGGCTAACTGTAATCACTATTCCGGAAGTTGCTCCTCTACAAGCAATCGTCATAAAGATGGTATATTGGTTGGACACTGTTTCGTTTGCCAGGCTGCCACAACAAAGTGCCACAGATCGACTCCCTTAAACAAGAGAAATCAATTTTCTCACAATTCTGGAGACCAGAAGTCTAAGATTAAGTGTCAGAATTGTTTCTTTTGAGGTCTCTCTCCTTGGCTTACAGGTGGCCATCTTCTCCATGCCTTCACATGGTCTTCCCGCTGTGCGTGACTGTGTCCACATTTCCTCTTGTAAGGACACCAGTCATGTTGAAATAAGGCATGCCCTAAGGGACTCATTTTAACTTAACCACTTCTTTGAAGAAAAAGCAACAGCAGCAACAGATGAGACCGACCACCTGCAATAGGCAGAGAAGGTTCAAAGTAAAATCTTGTCAAAGGAGCAGTTACTAATTTACTCAACTTATGAGGACTCAGAACATGCCATTTAAGTCTAAGGTAAAAAATGGAAGAGAGAGCAGTAAATAAGCAATAGCTACATTCTCACTTAAAACTGTTTTCCAGGCTTCCTCTTTTTTTGTTGTTGTTTGTTTTGACATTAGGCTCCAAATGCGGTCACCTGGGGGTGAGAACTTCAATATATGGATTTAGGGGGACACAATCCAGCCCATAACAAATAACCACTTGTGTACCTGAAGATATGTCGTTTTTGAGTGAATCTAAGGTGTAGTTTGGTGATCAGATACTGGAAGTTGACATACTTGAGGGGCTGACAGCTTCTAGCATGTTTATGATCTGCAAGATGGTAAAGGAACGTTTATTAAGAAGTGTGTATACAAGTCAACAGGCTGAAAAGGCTGAAGAAGACTAGTCCCTGTCACGTCTTTTCCCTTCGATATGCTGAAGACCTCAGCTCAGCCACATGCAAGGTTATGAGCAACTTGTCTTTTCAGGAAGAAACACCAAGCAAAGACCTCAGCTCAGCCACATGCAAGGTTATGAGCAACTTGTCTTTTCAGGAAGAAACACCAAGCATACAGTCATACACTGACATATAAAACATGACAAACTAGTTTCTAGGCTTTGGCCTTGAAAACTCAAATCATGCCCAGTGTTACTTATATTATTAAAATTTAGGGCTTCTTGAACCACCTACAGCTATTTTTTTTAGAATAAGAATCTGTGGTAATCTAAAACTGAAGAACACTGGCTAATGTCATCTACATACGTCAAGCACAGTGGTGGTCCCTTACACATATTAACATCAAACAGTATTATGAAATGAGAACTCTTATTGTTCTCTATTTACAGTTAAGTAAAGAGAGACACAGACAGGTTACATAACTTGGCTAAGGTTACAAACCATCATACAGCAAAGCCCAGACTGGAGAACCTTCAGCAGGGCTCCAGAGCTTATATTCAAAATATCCTGCTTCTCAACGTGACGCTTTACCCAACAGACTGATCCCAACAGCAGCAACAGATGAGACCGACCACCTGCAATAAGCAGAGAAGGCTCAAAGTAAAATCTTGTCAAAGGAGCAGTTACTAATTTATTCAACTTATGAGGACTCAGAATATGCCATTTAAGGTAAAAAATAGAAGAGATCGCAGTAAATAAGCAATAACAGCTACATTCTCACTTAAAACTGTTTTCCAGGCTTCCTGTTTTTGTTGTTGTTTTGACATTAGGCTTAACTATCAACCAGTGGTGGGAAATAAAGAAATTTAACCCAACATGAGCTATTGAAATAGAGAAAGGCAGCTTGCAGGTCCAGCACCAATGGCATCCTGGGAACAGGGGTGGCCTGCCACCAGGATGCCTTTGGCAAAAGGCTGAGCTTGGAGCTGCACCAGCCCCACCACAGCTGACCTGACCTGATGGAGGCTTTATGACCCAGTGGCAGCAGCTACCCCAATCCACCACCACCTCACCTCCTCCCTCAACACCGGCCACTGTTCGCCAAGAAGGCAGCAGAGGAAAGGCACTACCTTAGGGAAGAGGGCAGATGAGCGGCACACTCAGGAAGCAGTTTGTCGAAACGATGTTATACAGGCGCACATTTGAATGTGACCTCAAAGCTATAACACGTAGGAAGCTCTCTCCACTTCTAACTTTAAAAGCCTTCCAGTTGTATCCGATTTTTCCCTCAAGACTCATTCCTCTCCTTCCACAAAATGAGACTGTAGGAATAATCCTGTATTTTTAAAAAAGTTTTTATTTTAATCCTTCCTAGAGGAATATAGATTTGAATGAAATACATTCATTCCATAAATACATTAGCAGCAAAACCTTCCCACCAGCCCTTGCTACTCCCACCCAGAAGTTGTGCCTTAGCACAGGAGGGCATGTTCTATCAACCGTTAACCTAAGGATGCGTCCGCTTCTTGCTGAAAGCAGGACATGCCTGTGAGGGACCAGGTGAGAGATCACATGGATGGATGAATTAACTAAGCTGGGTCCCTGAAAACACACCCATGTAGTGACCATTAAGCTTTCCACCTTCCAGGATCCTTTGGCGACCACCATGCTTAACGAGTGAGGTCCTTCACCACAGACAAGGAAGGCCCAACCACGCAAATGGATTTGGAGTCATCTGTCATTGAGTTGGTAACATTTTACTGATGTCTTGATCCCTTTCACAGGGTAAGTCAGATATAAAGGATCACTCTCTCCTTCCTTCCACAGGCTGAGGTACCACTTTGCCAGCTGAGTCCACATGTGCTTGTCAGGAGAAAATCCAGCAGGCATTATTTGGCTCTACACCTCCAGATTCCCTTTGTCTGGGGGCTGGAAGCTTTACTGGACACAAATATGTCTAAACCTACAAAGATCTCTAAGGAAGAACCACCAACTGCCTCACCCTGGCTTCCACCAAAACTAGTTTCTCGGGCAGTGGCCTGGGCATCTCTCCTTGTCTTTCCATCGTTGCCTGCTGCCTGGCTGCTCCTTTTTCACTTGCCCTCTAGACACCTGCTGAAATTTTGGGAAGCGAGATCTACCCTAAACTCCCAAGAACAGATTAAGGCAGGTGGTACTTTAGCTGCAGCCAAAGGGGCTTACACTGCTGTATTCCAACCCATTCGGGGATGAGTATAAGTCACAACAGTCTGCATAAAACACCAGGACCACCATCACAATCAGGATGACTGTGATGCAGGGACCAAGTTTAAAGGAATAATGGAAGAATTTAAAATAAATCTGATTTGTTTGGGCACAGGGCAGCTTTGACTCAGGCATAAATGCAACACGCAGATTATCATGTAAATAAAGAACAGACCTCAAAAGTTGACACTTTCCTCCCCTCACATCACTTAAAAACAGGACACATGCTCTCTTTTCTCAATCTGTTTTAAAGTGTTTTCATCAGGATACTCCTCTAAAAGTGCTTTATCCATTCCCATTCAGTCTGTTTTGACTGTTGGCTGGAAGGAAATCGGAAACCATTTTATATAAAAACCATTGTAGTGGATAATTGGTTATGTGTTTTTCCCTTTTGCATTTTCTGTCCAAAAACAGCTGACTTCTTTCACTTATGTGCAGAAAGAGACTCATCCGCTGAATACACAGCACTGTTCATCCGACAGTCTTCTGTCCCCACAGAGTCCGCTAGTTCTTCCTCCTCTGAGTCATCCTCCTCTTCCTCCTCCTCTTGTGCTGATGAACTGGAGGTGGGCCCTTTGCAGGTTTTCAGGTGACGGGTAAGATGATATTTGGTTAAATAAGCCTTTGTACATTTTTCGCAGACATAATCCCGTTTTCCTTCATGTGAATTGAGATGCTTCTTTAAATGATTTGTTCTTAAAAACAGCTTATCACATTTGGGACACTTGATCTGGCGTTCTCTAAGAGGAACACAAGAAAAAACATTTGATTTGGGTTACAAATGATAACGGGTACATGCTTATTCTTCACAACCTTTGTCAGAGAAGTTCTACTCATTTAGAATCAGGCTTTTTATAAGAGACATAACAGAGATGAGTCATAAAACATTTGTACAGTTTAAACAGCACAGACTGATTTTGCCTGTTACGGAATTCTCTGTAAGTGAAGTTACACTGTATCTTTTTTTGTGGTTTGCTTCTTTCACTCAATATTTGTGAAATTCATTCAAGTTGCTGTATCAGTACTTTGTTCCCTTACACTGCTTGCTGTACAGTACTAACAAATGCACAACTTATGTGTGGTACTAGATTTGTCTATTATTAATGGACATTTTGGTGGTTTCTAGTCTTTTTTTTAATCCTCACAGGTAAGACTGCTATCGACATTTCTATACTTATATGTTGGTTTGCATATGCGGGGATTTCTCTAGGGCAGCTGGCTCAGAGACTATGCACATCTTCAGTTCTACTAGATAATGCCAAACTGTTTTCCAATGTGATTACATAAATATATATGTCCATCAACTGCTATTCAAAAGGTTTTATTGCCTACTTTCTCACCAACAAGTGGAAGACACAAATTTGAAAATGTTCGCCAGTTGGCCAGTCTGTAATTGTACCTCCCTTTGCTGTTAACAATAGCCTTTGCAACAGAAATTATCCAGCACAAAATGTCAGTAGCATCAACATTTAAGTAACCCTGGCCTAGACATTTTAGAGCCGAAAAGAATCTCAGAGATCATATACACCAGGCACTCTTAAAGTCTCTTTGAGCAGCTGAACCTTATGTCTTAACGAAATGAAAGCCCAATACGTGAAACAGATAAAAGGGGGCTAAAATCATTGGGGCAGTGGTAAGGTGCGGTGGGGAGTTCTGAAGCCTGGCCGCCAGCATTTCTACCACCTGCTCCCAGCAGGAGATGGCACTGGAGGGTTCTGTGGAGCTACAGGATGTGGAAAACTAAGTTCCTACCTTCATGGAGCTTACACTCTGGTAGAGGCGTTATATCATAAATAAAAATATATAGCATGATACCAGATAGTAATGAAGTGAGGGAGAAAGACAGGAAGATATCTAGGGGAAGTTCCTAGGCAGAAGCCCTGAGACTGGAGTGTGTTCACTATGCTGTCGTAGCAGCAAGGAGAGGGCCCGTGTGGCTGGAGCAGAATATGAGGAGAAAAGTAATAAAAGACGAAATGGGAAAGGTAGCCACATCATGAAGGGACTTCTAGGCTGCAGTAAAGACCTTTAACCCAAGCATGACGGGAGCCCCCTGGAGAATTATGAGTGGAGGTGGGCACAGTCTGACTTACATCTTCAATAGACTGCTATGGCCACCGGGGACAGAATAGAGGGTTGTGTGCGCACCTGTGTACCTGTGCTGGCGAGTGAATGAGGAGAGCAGAGGCAGGAAGGTCAGCTGGCAACTAATGAGGTGGTCCATACAAAAGATGCTGGTGGTCTGGACTAGGTAAGAGTTAATAAAGGAAAGAACTAAAGAATGAATTAAGGAAGACTTGAAGGTGCTTTGCTTGGGCCACTGGGATAAAATTTACTGATCTGGTGAACGCTGAGGGAAAATTAAGTTTGCAGGGGCATTAAGAGCTGACTTTTGGATATATCAGGTTTGAGCTGCTTGGTGGACAACCAAAACTCAGAGATGCTGACTGTTTAGATAGACAAGCTGGAGATATAAATCATAAAGATGGTATCGAAAGCCATGGGACTAAGGAAATGACCTAAGTGTCACTGTTCTTGCTCTCAAGTTCCTCTTTCTTAGAAAAAGGCAAAGCCAGTTACTGCCCCATTCCTTACATTCGCAGTGTTATGGGATGAATGCTGTCCCCTTCCCTCAAGTGTTCATGTTGCCCTAACTTGCAATGTGACAGTATTTGCAGATGGAAGGTAATTAGGTTTAGATGAGGTCATGAGGGTGGGACTCCCATGATGGGATTAGTGTCCTTAGGAAGAGAGACCTGAGCTCGCTCACTCTCTCCACCACATGAGGACACAACAAGGCGGCCATCTGCAAGCCAGGATCAAAACCCAACCACGCTGGTACCCTGACTTTGGACTTCAAGCCTCTAAAAGTGTAGAAAAATAAATTTCTGTTGTTTGTCACCAAATCTATGGTGTTTTGTTATGGCAGCTCGAGTTGATTAATATAAGCAGCAAGACTAAATGATCCCAGAGATCTCTTTGGGCTCTAACAGAGTACAATTCTACATAGTATTTGATAATTAGTGTGTCTAATTTCACAGTAATAGTGAAACTACGTAATAAGACTTTTGTTTTAAAAGGTCGTTTTGGGAGTTAAGAATGTAGATCCAGACTCCTTAGATGTTTCAGTGTTTCACATTGCATTGTGATTACGAAATAAGACAAAAGAGCTCATATCAAAGTATTTATCTAAACCTTACAATAAAAATACAAAATTTCATTGAAGATGGATTTCTAGACTACCTCCATAACAAAAAGCTAATGTTTCTCCCTCTTTTGACACCTGCTAAAAGCTCAGGGCCACAAAACCTGTTCTCTTCTACCACCACTGTGGCTAACACAGGCTAGGTATTTAATTACACTTGGATTCATGCAATAAATTCCTAATGGGTCTCCCAATATTTGGACTTCTCCTTCAATCAACCGGTTCTGCTGCCAGGGTAAGCATTTTAAAATGGACATCTCGCCATGACATTCTTTTCTTTAAAATCTTTCAATGCTTCCACAATGTGAATATACTTAACATTAATCAACAATATACTTAACATTAATCAACTATATACTTGAAAATGATAAATTCTATGTTATGTGTTTTTTACCATAATTAAAACATGCGTGCATGCACCCCCACAGTAAGCACACAACAGTGCCCAGTACATGGGGAGGAAAAAAATCCTTAGCGGCGCCCCATGATTTCCTGAAATTTAGTTTTTAGGTGGGTAAAAGGCTCTTCGTGACTTGGCTCTCCATCGCTCTCGCATGCACACTATGCTCGAACTACAAAGAACCGCTTGCATTCCATAGTCCCTTTGGCATCTATGTTTCTAAATGTGCCATTCCCTCCGTCTAGAATACTATTCCCAACCCTCACCCTTCTTTGCCTCCCTGAATAATTCTAATTTATCTTCTTTAACACCAGGAAGCTTTCCCAGGACACCCGCAGGCTGAGTTAGGGAACCCTCTTCTACGGCCTTTCAGGATCCAATGCTTGTTCTGACAACTGCACCACAGAGTGGTAATTTGTCCACTGTTCTGTTTCTCTTACTGGACTCTGAGTGCTTTACAGACAAGTTCTACAGAGGTGTCTTTCATCTCCATATTTTTGCCACTTTGCACAATGCTGGACACCAAGAAGGTACTTAAGAAATATTTGTTAAATGAGATTTTGTTTTGAAAATATGAATAAAAGTAAACCCAGAGAGAAATGAAAAATAAGAAAAAGAAAACAAACGAGTGAAATCTTCCGGGATAAAACCAAAACCTGTTTTCTGACCTTTACTTGGCCATGCGGAATCAGGGAAGCACCGACCAGGGTGCCGAGGCAGGAGACAGACGAGTCAGCACCTGCAAGCCCTTGAGTGCACCGCCGAGGGACATTCTGGCTGCGGGGTAACTTACTGTGTGTGGATGAGCACATGCTGCTTGAGGTCCTGCCTCCGCATGAACAACTTGTCACAGTAATCACACTTGAGATTCTTCTCGCCTGTGTGGATGACCATGTGGGACTCCAGGTGAGCCTTCTGGGTAAAAGACTTGTCACACAAAGTACAACGGTAGTTCTTCTGACCTGCACATTATAAATTACCGCACTGTGAATAAGGCAACCACTGGCACTCTAAAGATGAACAGGCACACGTACAGGTACGTGGCAGAGGCGAGAAAAACAACTGACTCGTAGCTGAAACTTCACTTTCTAGGGCTGTCTATCTAGAACCACTCAGAGCCACTGAATTTATATTCTACAACTGAAGCTAGTGAAGCTAATAAATCTAACCTTCTAAGACTGCTTACCTGGAAAAAATAGTGTGTGTGAGTTTATAGCAGGCACAGTATAAAATTTGAAAAAACAATCACTTATAATTCTAGAACCCAACCGAACTCAATTAGATTTAAAAAAAACCTCACGAATTTTAGTTCTTGTCTATAGGCAAACATATTTTTACAACCTATATTTTATAGTTTTCTCTTTTTTAAAACACATAATATGACCTCATAAACCAAGAATGAAATAAAATTCTTCTAAGAATGCGGAAATAAGATTACACTAAGTCAGAGGCTGGCAAATCTTTTCTTAAAGGCCAGTCAGTATTTTAAGCTTTGAGGGCCATACAGTCTCTGTTGTGACTACTCAGTCTTAATGCAAAAGGATGAGGAAGAATTTTACCTTCAAAGTAAAGAGAACAAATGATCAAGCCACAAAAACTAAAACTTCATCAGTTATTTTGTAGTATATGTGAAAAAAAATAAGTGCCAAAAGAAAGGGTTTGGTTTGCATGGAATTAAAAAATGGAAACTCAAAAAGCAAATTTTTGGCCATGTTTATTGAGCAATAGTCAAAAGAAATTGGCTCCGGTTGGTGACCAAGAGTGAGCTCTAATGAGAGGCTCAGGCTATTTCCAGAGAATTCCCTCTGCTTCAAGTCCGAACAAATGGATCAAACTCTTAATTATTAACTGCATTTTCCCAGTCACTTTCACACCATGGTGGGGGCACCTGGAAAGTGGAGCATCTTAAATTTAGCAACTAGAAGCTACTCTTTGAAGAAGCAGTTATCCCACCAAGACTTACCGTCCATGAAGTCCTGCTGACAACCAGCTGGATTCGTTCTCTAATTTCTTAACTCTCCCTGAAGACTATTTTGCGGCAAAGCTTTGCTATCGCAATTTCTAATGGTTGCAAAATTCTATTTTGATGGTCCAATATAACTTACCTGTATGTATTTTAAGGTGGGTCCGCAGGTTGCTGGGATCGCTAAAAGCTTTACTACAAAAATCACATTTGTGGGGCTTCATGCCCATGTGACCCATGAAATGGACGTGAAGTTTGGAAGGAGAGATAAATGCCTGGGGGCACATGGAGCACTTCCACTTCCTTTCTTTGCTGTGGCTTGACCCGTGGCTGCTGCTGTGGCCCTGGCTAGGAAGGTGGTTATGGATGTGGCTGGTCAGGTGGGCTTTGAACTCTGTATAGGAGCTGCACTCCTTGCCACAGTTACAGAGGTGCACATCTGGGTGTTCCGGAACTCCTTAAAAAAAAATTACTCAATGTCTCCCAATACTTAAATTTTAAAGCTTGTTTTTGATATTAATACCTGTTTCTTAAAATTCTCTCTTTTACCAAAATTTCCACCTTGCCCACTACCTATAAGACTAAAATGTCCTGTTTAAGGCTCTATTCCCAGGCATCTCAAACAGTGTGCCAGGCACATAAGCAGCACTTAGTAAATACTAGACTATAAGGCATATTTCCTAGGCAAAAACTTAAGATTCTGAGCACACAAAAACCCTTAAACATCACTTGTCATCATGACATAGTGCAAAGAAAAAGCCTACAAAGGATAAATCAATTCGAGGAGCTTTGCTGTCCTTTATGAACTTAAATTGCAATGGTAATGGCTCAAAAGCAGTCTCAGGAACTTCAAATTCCCCAACTCAAAGTCCTAACATAAAAGTTCATTCCATATAAATACTGCCTGGTCAATAACACTCGGCTTGTGAAAAACCTCACAGATTTTAACACTATGAAATAGAGGTAATATTTTGCTCTTATATATCAAAGTATGTGATTTGTTTCAGCTGACATTTAAATCATTCCCAAAACTTTACTTCTGGTCCCAGGTATTTCTGCTATGCTAGATCCATGACAAACAAGCCTCACATCGACTCACCAATCTGCTGCGCATAATCCCGGCTATAATAAAAAAGCAGTTCGTTTTCAGGAGGAATATCTTGTGAGGTGCAGAAATAAATTTTTCCATCATGGGGATAAGCCACCAAATTCTGCTCTTCCCGGTTCCTAAGTTATCACATTTAATAAATCAAACGTATTAATTTTGAAATATTTACTAAACACATCATACGTCAAAATCCTATATGAAAACTTAGACCTAACGATTTCTCTGGGTCATTTTTCTAATTCCCTATCCTATCTATTATGAGAGACGTGTACAGAAACACAATTCTTACTTCAGCACATCAGTGTATTGCCCTTTACGGTTAAGAAACTCTAGAGTCTGTTACTGGAAGCAAGAAAAGTAAATAAAATCAAGTCTTAAAAAAACAACATGACAAAGACAGAGATGGCTGAACAAGAATTAACAACTAAGAGCCAATATAAAGAGAAGGTACCACTTGCAAATTCAATGGTAATGGTATCATACCTTACTGCATTGGTAAGTTGAATAAACTATTAATTAAATAAGGAGTTTCTTGTGTTTTTATTTGTAATTACCATTAGTCAACAACTACTGAAGTGAAAGTGAAAGGCCTTAGGCCTTATGTGCAGATATCAGTGTAATCTGTATTCTTCAGCTCTTCCCTATTTCATGCAAAGCTTATTAAAAACATCTGAATCATAACAATTTCTTTCACCTAAGACTATTCTTACCTGGCTTTGCGCACAAACATCATCCAATTACATTCATTTTCATCAGTTGTAATGATGCAGAATTCAAGGACACCATTGTGGTATATCTGTCAAAAGAAGGCAAACATACATGTTAAATCAGCTTATGCAAAGTGCACTAAATTCAGGCTAGCAGGAATCTTTTACTTTGCAGTAAGTACCAGCATTCCTCGTCAGTGTGAAAGTACACGGTTGTGTTCTCACGTTTGTCATTTCACCAGTCCCCCATTTCCAGCAATCCAATAAAGACCACCAGAGACCTACAGTTACTGTTCAGTGTATAGAATGACATTATTCTTGATTATTGTTCTTGATTATTCACATTTTGGCTTGACTGGAAAAAAAACAAAAGAACAGTCTACTTGTTTTCATCACCCAGTATATGATGGCATTGAATGACTGAATGAACATTAATGTCAGTGGACCTAGCATTTTCTGTGTTCCCTTTCGGATACCAAAATGAAAGTCTCTAGTGACAGGGGCATCTTACCTTTCCAATTATCATAAGATCTACTTTCCCCTCACTTTGATTTTGAAAGCACCATTCCAAACTTACTAAGATTCTATATAAACAAGTTGCAGGATAAGTTGCTTATGTCAAAACCTTGTGTTTCTAGCCCCTCCCATTAGAAAACTAGAGAAATAATCTTAGCTTCTAATTGCAGAATTGTTTCCTATGCTAAATATCTGAGGAATGTTTTAGTTGATTATAAGACTTTCATGATATAAACAAAGCCTACTGCCCCAACTGCCACACGTAATCAAAAAGATGAATCATTCGATTATCTAACAAAATGGAGACTGAAACAGTTTATCCTCTATATATTCAATAGCTGGTATTTTGCTATGTTATATAACTTGGCTACCAAGAACAGAAAGAATGTAATATAAATAAATGACTGACAAGTGAACTGCACTGTATGAGTTTTGACTAATTTTCACCTTTATGTCACTTTTAACTACCTCAATGTAATAAAAATATCCAAAAGTCACACAAAAGTTTTGTAAACACTGACCTTCCAAATGTGGTTAACTGCCTTGTCTGTCCATTCTGCTACTTCCATGGAGTGACTCTGCTGGCCAATAAGAGGCCCAAAGCAAGTCCGCACAGGAATGGTTTCTCCAGTCCATACACCTGTCAGTGGAAGGACACCAACTACACAATCAATGATGTAAACATCTCAGAGGATATAAAAGAGAGAGTAGCTTCACTCATATAAGGAATCTTATTTTCAGTGAACCTAAGAACCACCAATATTCCAGCATGCTAGAGAGGTAGCTAAGTTTTATGGATATATCCTGTAAATATGGAAAATGTAATGAACAGATTAAATGGGGCTCAAAAGAAATATGCAGAGTAAGAAGTGGTATCAGAAATTCCTGAACCCATTTTTATACACAAAGACCAAACCATATCCCTCCAAATATGTTATTTTGGAGTTAATACACAAAAAGGACTAAAGAACATTATTCCATTGTAAAAATATAAAGCAATTACTACAAAATAAATCAAACTTCTAAAATCATTTATGCTTTAAGCACTGCTCCATATTATCTAAGCTGTTTAATGCTTTCATTGACATCATGTCCAAGCTATAACTGAAAGAATAATGAACTTTGACTCAAATGTTCAAAGAAATGGTATAGTACTTAAGAAACCACGTTCAACTCAAATATGGGTAGGCATGCTCTGGCCATCTACCTTCCTTATTCATTTTCCCTAGGGAGTATTAGACAATTTATTAACATTCACTCTAAATATCTTTTGTGATAAATGGTTATCAGTGGGAGAACTTTCCATGTTTCCATAAAAGAATTTAAGTTTCAAGGAGTGTTCTGTCATAGTAATTGTTAATGGGTGATACTGCTGAGAATAAAAGTCAAGTCTTCAAAGACTCAGGTCAGGATTCTCCTCTATTCAATTCTGACTCTAAGAAAGGGTAACTTTCCCCGATAAAGTTTTCAACTTGATTTATTCCTATCACCACTGGACGAGACAAATATTCCCCAAAAGAATATATCTTAGGCCATGAATTGACTTTTAGATGAACCAAGTTAAGTCAGTAAATTTTACACACATCTACTTTACAACTCTATCCTACAAAGAAGAGACTTGATGGGGTTCCACGGTTCTCACCAACTTCTGCTCCCACAATGGACTGGCGGAGAATAAGCTGCTTTGGGAGAGAAAGCCTCGCTCTACTCTCTATCGGAGTGTCAGGAACAAAAGTCACTGGTCCGTGATCAGGGCAGTCTGAAGGATAGGCTCGGTCACAGAGTGTGCACCCTGCAGATGGAAAATTTGAGAAACACAAATGGGTTTAGTTCAAGCAGGCTGAATCACCACCTTCCTTTTTAGTAAAACGCTAATTACTAAAATGTAGCCAGTAATAAGATTCTAGGAGAAATATTCTAATCAAAAAACTACTTTCTTACACTGAAACATATATCCACTTATATTTCTCTTCAGCAAGATCAGATTTTTTCCTTTTGATCCAACAGGACAAGTTTCCTATTCAGTGCATAAGAGAAAGACTGATAAAAAAATTACACTATATCACTTCATGAATCAAGTAGTCGTCCATAGACATCCACTCATACACTTTAAATCATCTCTAGGTTACTTACAACACCTAATACCATACAAATGCTACGTAAATAGTTGTTTTACTATGTTGTTTAGGAATCAACTTTCTGGAAAATTTTTTTTGACTATATTCAATCTGCAGTTGTTTGAATCTGTGGATCCAGAACCCATGGAGATGGAGAGCCAAATATACATTGTTCCTTACATTAAGTAGAAAAGTAATACCTTTAGATATAATGTTCTAAAGTCCAAAACTGGATTCCAATTCTACCAAACTGAAAGGGAAAGCTAAGTTGAAATGCTGGTAGTCATGCAAAGCCAAAACAAAGATGACATTACAGGACCACAGAGTCCAAGCCAGCTGCACCACTGGTCTCTTTTAACTCACTATAAACAAACTATTCAGCCAGATTTTGATGACAGATTAAGACCAAAAAAAAATTTACAACCTGCTCTTTGGGACAGCAGATAAAATATATTCTTGCAGACATATGTGCTTAAAATACTTCATTTCCTTGTTCATATGGTCTTTCTGCATTGTCAGAGAGGGTGCTTCCTTCACATTGTTCTCTAGGTTTACTATAACTTCATTATTACGAGCTCATGTCCTTCTCAGTAAACCCTTTTGCTCCATTCTCTTTTCTTTCTCTCTGTAAATAGTTTTCATGACTCCATTAGTTAATGATTGAGTTCAAATTTCCCAAATTTGTTCACAAAATAGGTGGAATATGTAAACCTTAGAAACTACAGCCATCTAAATGTCTTTTTTCCCTAAGCAATCCATTAGAAATTTCTACTTAAATAGCATAAGATATCGATGTTTGTATATTTAGCCAAAACAGTAATAACATATTACTTCAATTACTACTTAAAAATTCTTTGACTATCAGAACAGAGACCTTACCATTGATAAGAACTGATTCTTAACAAGGGGAATCATCTCCAACGAAAGGAGATTCACATTTCATGCAGCAAAAAATGCTTAGAGATTTCTCCAAAGACATACAACTGGCCAAAGACATCATTGTTCATTAAGGAAATGTAAGTCAAAACCACAATGAGATGCCACTTCACACCTACTAGGATGGCTATAATAAAACAGAAAGAAAATAAGTGCAATAAAGATGTGGAGAAACTGGAACCCTCACACTAATGTTGGGAATGTAAAATGGCGCAGCCACTTTGAAAAGCAGTCTGGCAATTCTTCAGAAAGTTAAACATAGAGCAATTTCCCTCTAGATATAGAGCCAAGAGAATTTAAAACATATGTTCATAAAAAATTTGTACATGAATGTTCATAGCATTATTCATAATAGGGAGAAACTACTCAAATGTCCATAAACGATAAATGGATGACTAATATGTGGTATATCCATACAATGGAATATTAGTCATAAAAAGGAGTGAAACACTGATGCATGCCACAATATGGATGAGCCATGACATTATGCTAAGGGAAAGCAGCCAGCCAGACACAGAAAGCCACATTTAGTATGATTCCACTTAAATAAAATGTCCAGAAGAGGCAAATCCATAGAGATGGAAAGTAGATGAGTGGTTGCCTGAGCATGGAGGGGGAGGTGGAAGGAACGACGAGTGACTGCTAATGGGGTTTCTTTATGGGGTGATAAAAATGTTTTGGAATTAGTGGTAATGGTTGCATAACCTTGTCAATATACTAAAAACTGCTAAAATGTACACTATAAAATGTTTCAGAATTATGTCATTTTTAAGAAACACGATTAGAAAAGGTTCTGCTTACCCACTTTAAAAAGGATTAATCTTCTGCTAAATTAATGAGCCTATATTACATTGCCAAATTAAAATATTTAAAAATTATTAACTGGAGACTTGCAAGGCCTCCCCTCTGCTTGGCTTCTGCAGAACCACTTTCCTGACCCTCCTGTTCAGTCTATTTTAAAAGTTCTTCCTCTGCTGCTCTATCTTAACATCCCCAGCCCTCTTGTCACTTCGAACCCTTATGAGATGACTTCACCCCACTTCCATGGCTATGATTAACACCTTAACGCTGAGGATCCCTAAATATTTCCAGACAGATCTCAGCTCCAGATTCAACTTCTCATTAGACATCTCTACTGAGTATCTTACAAACACTAAAATCAACATGTTTAAAACTGGACTTGCCATCACGCCTCAAAAATATAATCTATTCCTCCTCCAGCATTGATTATCCTGAGGAATGCCACCACTACCCACCCAGTATCCCCTGCCAAAAACCAGGGTTTCCTCTTTAACCCTCCACTCGCCCAACTTCAACCACTCAGCAAGCTCTACTGAGTTCTCGTAAGTATCCTCCACTTTTCCTCCTCCTTGTTATCTCTACATTAGGTTGGAAAATCTTCACCTTTCACTTAAATTATGGCATCATCGTCCTTACCTGTCTACTTGCCTCTAACAAACTAATTATCCTCACATTACGGCAGAACCCCCACTTTATCCCCTACTCCTTAAAACCCTTGTGTTCTGGCCCCTATTTCTCTTTCATCACGTATCCCTCTCCTCATCCGCATCTTTTGTTTTGGTAATTCTGAACCACTCAATTCTTTTGGTTCTAGGCACCTAAGGCGGGGGCCAACTCCTGACTAGGACGGTTCTTCCTGATTCTCTCAACTGCCAACATCTTTGTCCGTCAGGTCAGTGCTAACATGTACGTTATCTCCCCTGGTAAGTCTTCCCTGCACCTTCCAAGCCCTGCTCAGATGCTCTTCTCACTCCTTTAGCTCTTTGCACTTCATCTCATCTTCGTATTTATCATACCGTATTGCAATAGTTTACTTGCCTATGTTTCCCATCAGACTATAAGCTCCTTAAAGGCACATGCTGTCTCTTGTAAACTGTTTTCTCCCCAGCATCTAGTACAAAGGCCGACATAAAAGCACTCTCATTCGTGTTTCCTGCACGAATGAAACATGCAGTGACACCAACAAATTGTGTTTATACTTTTTGTACTGTTGCCCCATAAAAAAAAAACTCTTACATGCTTAACTAATAGTAATTTATATGCATTCTGAGCAAAACCAAAATTATATTTGTATCCACCTACATTTCTCCATGAGGATGAAAAAAGCACATGATCTAATAAATTTGTCTTACGTTGAAAAAACACAAAGCATGTCTCACATAACACCTTATTGAAGTTTATTACTATAATTAATTCTCTATTTGTGAAACTTTCGGAACTATCTTATGTATTTTGGGCTAAGCTTATCTGTTAAATACAGAAATGACTACGTTTCCTTATTTCAGGAGGATGCTGTAAGAACCAATGAAATGTCTGTAGATCATCTGGCTCACTGGAGGCAAAGTCACAATATTAATAAAAGGGACACTACAAAGGGAAAAAACTCCAAAGCAGAGTTACTTCCTATACTCCCTTAACACCTGCCTCAGTAACTAAGCCTATAGGGATAATGGCCCTTTCCAGCAGTATTTCCAAAAGAAAAAGGCTAAGCACACTCACAAATTGTAAACAAGGTTGCCATATTTTCCTTGTTTGAATTGGAGTCTTCCATTTGCAGTGAAGGTGGTACAAAAGAAAGACTGTCTGAAGATACATCTACATGACCTGTCCCCATAGCAACCTCCTGGGTGATGGAGGAGACAGCCACAGGTTCTAGGCTTAGGCCAACTTCATGGAGGGAAACAGATTCTAGGGAGGCGAGGTTGTGTGAGGTAGAGAGTGCCACGCTTACAGAGTTGGTGCTCATGGCCACGGTGTGGATGGAGTCACTGAGGGCACTGTCAGACATCCCGCTGACCCGACTTGAAATGTGGTCTGTCTCCATGACCACAGGGAGCTCCAGGCCATTCCCATGAATGGGTATCACACCACCATGTCCTACAGTGTCTGCTGCAAGATTGTTGCTCACAGAATCCACAGACAGAGGTTCATGACTTCTGGAGCCGTTCGGGATTTGAGAATGCTCGCCTGTAACACCGTCCATCGTAAGCTCTTCTGCCATTCCATCTGTAGAGATCGGGCTGGTAACCCTAGAGACGTTCTCCATAGTAATTGTTGTGTCCAAGGCCACCTCATGGCCATCACTGGGATGAAGACTTTGGGCGCCATGTGTGTTCACAGAGCGAGAGTCTATTGACACAATGCCTGGTTCTAATCCAACATTTCCATTGGACTGGTAGGGATCTAGTGCTGAAGGGTTATTGGTAATAGATAATGCCGTATTATTGTCAACATTTATAGAGTTAGGGTGGATGTACTGAGGAGGTGGTCTGTCAGCTAAATAAGATAAAATGCCTGAGAAAAGGAAAAGATAATAGAGACTTTTCAGTACATTGTTAAATATAAACAATTCCAAATGCTAGAAGCTATTTTCCTTAAAATAATCTCCTAATCTTGTGGTTTAATCAATATATATACTTTATAAGTAACAACATACATATGCCATAATTCGGTTTTTCCTGTGAAACCTAGAAACTATAAAAAACTATGTTCAAGTCACTGGAAATTAATCATTTAAATGCCGCCTTTAACATATACACAGCTGGAATTCCTGAGTCCTAATATGCTGAACTTTCTCTGCAAAAGTTAAAGGCAAAACAATTTAAAGATATCTTCCATGTGAAAAATTAAATTTAATTAAATATAATTTAACTGTCATAACATACTAGGTTCTGTTCAAAACAAGTCACAATTGTGCCTGCTTTATTAAAACAGCAAAAAACATCTGAACACTTCTGCTTGGAAAGAAGGATATAGTGAAATGGTACTGCGCTGCCAGTAGGAGTGTAAATCACTAAAACATTTTTGAAAAGTATACATATTAGGTACCTCAAAAACATTCATACCCTCTTGCACAAGAAAGTCTACTTACAGTAATCTTCCCTAAATGTACTTTGTAAATATGCTACACAAAGACACGCATGTAATGGTAATATAAAAAATGAGAAAACTAAACTGTCCAACAATAAAGACTGATATAATAAACCATGGAATATCCATTTGGTAGAATATAATGCATCATTAAAAGGGATAATTATGAAAACCATGTAGTAGTTGGGCAAAATAACTATGTAAAAGTAGAGAAAATTGTTAAGCGAAAAAAGAAGACAACTGTATAAAAAGTATAGTCTTAATTATGAAAAACGGTAAAATCTACATACCAAAATAAAAGAAAGGAAGGAATTGCACCAAAAATATGAATGATGAGACTATGAGTGGTTCCTCTATTCGCTAAATTTTCTCAAATGAGTATATAATACTTTTGTAACAGAAAAATACAAAAACTTTAATTTATAATAAACAATGACACTGTAGCAAGATATGTGGTTGGCAGGAATTTCAAATAGAGAATTATAAAAACTGAACCAAGGATATGGAGAAGGAGAAAAACTGCTTCTGTGCCATTAGGAAATTAAGCTTAGTCAAACTGCTACATCAAAAATGTGTTATTTGTACATTCTAAGAGGAAAAGTATGTAAGTATAGATTTTTTTCCCATCTGGAGATTAATATCTAATTGTGAAAAACAACAAAAAAAGCGTTCAAGTCTTCAAGCACTAAGGTTAAGTGTTGGCCCTATTCTTTCTTCTCACTTCCCACAGAACTATAATACTTACCAGGTAGAATGGTTCTGAAGTAACTGCTCTCCAGGTGGGGGTAAGGTGGTGGAGGTAAGGTATAGTTTCTTTCGGGTAACCCACACATCACCCCTCGATCCCCAATACCCATTGGGAGCATCAGAGACAAAGCAGAAGGCAGAGAGCTCAGGGAAGGACCCAGGTTTGGAATTGCCACTGGCAGGCCTACAAAAAAATGTTTTTCTCAATTAAAATATGTACTTAAAAATCTCTCTATAATCACTGGCTAGACTCTTAGAAAGCTTTTTGCACATGGGCAAAACTCTCGCCTAGTAGCCCTTTACATCCCCAGATAGGCAGTGTTATGCAGAAACCCACAAACAAGTCCTAAAATTACTTTTCGAGTTGATTTTAAAATGCCAAACGGATCCTCTAGTTGTCTGTACTTGTCTTAAGTACCAAATATTTAATTATAATTAAAAACCTAGTTTAAATACGATGTAAGAAAACAAATTACAGACATAAAAAGAACAGGAAGAAACGTACCAGAGTTCGCAGGAGTGGTTTCTGAGTAGTGATATCACAGATTTTTTTTTTTACATTTTTTTCATTTTTTATTTTCCATCTTACACAGTGAGAATGTTTTCCATTTAAAAATTCATAGATATGATTCTACTTGAAAAATAATCTCAAGGTAGATGTAAAACTGTATATATTCTTTCACACAGTCTTTTGCATATATGCTGTTCTGCATGATTACATCTACCCTGGATAATATCTATCTGCAAGGTGTTGAAGCAATTCTTATTGTGCCTAAGTAGCATAATGAATTCTCACCAACTTAGGCAGTGCTGATTTGCATTATTTTTTCCAGTGGCAGTATTTTTTAATAGGCTTTTCCTCTTTAACAAGTGTTCACT